ATCGAGAAATGAGAAAATACCAACCGGATCGACACTGGCCTCGATGTTTTGTTCGATATTACTTGATATATGCATAAACGAGACATGTAATCAAGTCGGAAATGCTGAGTCGTCATCGCGCGCTACAAAAGTTGATAAAATGCCGTTATTCCGAATGCTTATCTCTTCACTCTTCTATTCGAATGTTTCGCTGTATTCAAAGCTGATAAGATGAGTGTTCGCTATGTGTATATTTGGCATTGTTTAAACTGTAAATTCCATTTATTTTATGACGATTCCATAATATCTGATGAGCACATTTAATTGCACTCAATACAAGCGAATGACCTAATCGCACCGTCGTCATCACCATAAATCAATAAATCAACTAATAGTGGATATCCGCACGAGCTCTTCGGCTCAAATAAAACACGCTTTGACACCGCGCGATGTCTATTTTAATGTCACAATCGTGCACACAACATGCAAACCAATAATTTTCTAGCAATTTATTATTTAAACACTATTTTGCATTTAGATGATGGTTATTTATGGATGTCAATAGGGTTTGGATAGACACATGCTGGAAATCACATGAGAACATAGGGGAATGACACAAAGGACAACCACATGTGTTAGAAACGATTTGTAAAATATTGAAAGGGTTTTGACATGTTAATCGAGGTAAATACAGGTGGCCAAATAGATCATTCGATGCGAAAATCGGCGATCCGGTCAAATTAACGCAAAATAGATCTTGGAATTCAAGATTTTAGTAAAATGTGAGAAAAATCTTCCTAAAAACAGAAAAAAGTGATTGAAAACACCAAATTAACATCTTTTGTGTAGTAAACACAACAAATCGACAATTTAAAGGAAACAGCGAGAAAAAATATGTGAGAAACTCACTGGAATCGTCGAAAATGACGAAAAATTGCTTAAAAATCGACTGAATATGATAAAAACACACAAAAAATTCTTTTGAGTATAAAAAAAGAATAAAACCAACAAAATTCGTTCGAACAAAAAATGTGTATAAAGAAATCGCTAAACAGCAGTCATAAGCAGCAAAATACCATGCAAATATCAACGATAAAAACGGTGTTAAAAAATTTTACTTTTCCGCACACACCTTGTGTGTAAGGTAAAGTATTGGAATCGGTCGAAAAATTAACACCCTCAAAAAACATGTTTTCTGGGTGTTTTAGGACCCAGGGAACACGAATCTAGCGTTTTTTCGATGTCCGAATGTATGTGCGTGGTACCCTGTACGCTGTACGCTGTACGCAAAAATTTGTTAACACGATAACTTTCAAACCAGAAAAGTAATTCAAAATCTGACTTCACAGGATGATTGGGGGTGCCGAGGAATAGAAACCATTAAATTTTGAGCGACTTTGGTTGATAGAGTAACGTGTCATGTCTGGTGTGATGCCCATGGCCATCCATGGGAAAAATTCAATTTTCCCCCCAAAAGTGATATTTAATGTATTCTTAAACATCCAAAAATATGTATTGGGGGGTTTTTGGGTACGAGAAAACCGAATATGACATTAGTTTTGCGATACAAATATATTTCGACACACCTTTCATACAAATATTTCAAAAAAATTGGATTTTGTATGGAAGCCATGCCTGTATGATATCGTAATGACCTGAAACTTTGCGCAGGTTATTTTTATCACACAAAAATAATATTCCGAGAGTTTGAAGAAATTTCAATACATATTAGGGGTACCTTCCGAACAAAATTTTCGTTTTTGGGTGAAAAATCCAAAATTTTGTTCGGAAGGTACCCCTAAATTGTATTGAAATATTTTCAAACTTTCAGAATGTTGGCTTTTTGTGAAAAAATACCCTGTGTCAAGTTTCACGTCGTCATGCAAGGATTGATTCCATTCCAAAATTCCCATTTTAAGTAATTTTTATATAAAAAGTGTGTCAAAAATTATGTGTATCGCAAAACTAATGTCAGATTCAGTTTTTCGTGAGTTCAAATTCAAGTAAAAGATAAGTTATAAATGAATTTTGTGGATCACAGTGCGGAAAAGTTCATCTTACGTATGTAAGACATTTTATTTCTTTATAAAATTGATGTTGTTTTGCCAATGGAGATGTTGAAATCGATATAAATTTAGCGCAGAAAAAAAATGTTGAGTTGAATGTGGTCTGTTTTAGTATGCATCATGCATCGCATTTTGTTTGAAAAAAGTAGACTTGACTCAAAACACGAGAAATCGACAGCAACATTGTGATCTCTTTCGTTCGTTCATGCAATGCCAATTTGTTTATTCGATCAAAAGTCACAACCACACTCTACACAACGCTATATGTAGCAAAGTATGCTGTGGTGCTGTGTGTTCGTACGAATACAGTGACGATATAAACTGTGAGCGAGTGAATGAGACCGTTTTTCTTTTCAATTGTTAATGTGAATCATTTGTCTGGTTGCGAGAAGAGAATAGAATATTCCACACAGCGCGCATACATAACGTCGTTATAATTAAGCGAAGAAGAAAAACAGAAGAGAGAAACACACAAAAAAGCGACACATTTGTGTTTGCTTAATGAATGATAATAAACCGCATGGTATGCCGTGACGTTCATCGAGTCGCTTTTGTGTATATCGTTCCACATAGACAAACTCATTCACTCACTCATTCGCAGTGTGTCGTATGAATATTTAATGTTTTGTATTAGTTTTACATTAAGAAACAAGAATTTCACTTTATAAACTGATTTGTTTGTTCCGTATTTGGAGTCGAGTTTTTTTTTCTCTTTACCTTGTTCCAGTGGCCGGTTGTGCTAATGTGGGTTATGATATCGATTTTGTGCTCAATATATTGAGAAAATCGATTGATAAAATTTGATAATAATTCGACGTGAATGAGTCATGAAACACTGTTTCTTGCGTTTGCTACAATTTTTTTTCTCCCTTTTTTTATAATCTAATTGAACATTTCATAATCAACATTCGGCGTGTTTTTTGCGTCATCATCAGCTGAATTTTCATAAAATTGTCGCCGGTCTAAGTTTTTTTTTTTGCTCTTTCTCGCTTTTTCCATTCTTTGTTTAATTCGTCATACAATTCGACTTGAATATCGGCTCTCTTTTGTAGCAATAACCCATTGACTTTAAAATTTACGAAACTTGTTTAAAAAAATCAAATGTCAAGGCAGTTCTCATGCATTTTTTATTCTAATGAAAACGATGAGACCTATTTCGTCAACAAAAAAAATTTCTTCTTTAATCAATACAAGCACATTTGATTGATTTTTATCAATTTCAACAATTTGTTCGACCGAAATCCGTCAATTTCACTTTTTTCATGGTTATTTCACGTTTGCGTGCATTCAACTATCATAATATTTGGGCCAAGAGCAACACGCTATCACTTAAATTCATATTTACAACCAATTTTGAAATAAGAAACCTTTATTTATAGCTTTGGCAAGGGAAAAAGGCATTCAGTTTTGATGGGCTGCGTTTAGCACTTTTAATTTGTTTTTTTTTGTTGTTATATGTCGACGGTAAACAAACGATTGATACGGAAAATACACACGGTATATGTGAAAGAAATGGTGAGAGAGAAATGATGGATACTTCACGGAATTTTTCGGTTTAAAAAACATGCGGATTGCGGCATGTACGCACCGCACCACTCTTGTGGAATGATGGTAAACTCAATGGAATGTAGACACATATGGAATTTCTGTGAGAAAGTTTTGGTTTGGAAAAGAAGAAGTTTCGTAGAAAAAATCATTCCGATAACATCGAACGATCTTTGAAACATTATGCGCTTTGAAAGTTTTGATGAAAACTTGTTTAGTCATTGTTTATTATGAAAAAATCGAAATATAGTCATATTTTATAGAATTCATGTATAGAATTTTTTGGGAACCATTGAAGTGTCACTCATTGGTTTCACCAATATTCACGGTAAAAATGTCGAAAAAACAGACATTATTTTGAGATATGAATCAGCTCAGGCTGCTATCGTCAGGAGCTGAAATAATGTGAAAACAAGCAGAAGTGATGGTTATAAAAACACTTCCATTCTTACAAACAACAATCACTTCATTTCAACTCCTGACGGTAGCAGCTTGAGCTGATTCAACTGGCTGAAAATATCTCATTAAGATATTTACGAAAAATGAAAGAAAATCACAAATTTCCAACCAAAACATGATAATTGGTGGCTACAACGACAATGGTTCCTACCATTCAAACAAATGGCCTACGAATTAAAAGCCTTGAAATTTATCCATGCAAACTATCACTTGTTCAACTCGCATAAATCAAATATTGATAAAGAAATTGAGCAATACACTTACTTGTTATTTAGTCGACACTTTTTTTTCCATCCAAAACTCACATTCAGTTGTGATATTAATTTTTGGGTCAAAAAAATTGACCGAATTCAATAAATGACAACTGAAAACTCCGTATCGAACCAGTGCAAATGTCATTGATTTGCATTCTTTTCTATTTCATTCGTTCTTGTTTTCGTCTCTCGATTCTTCTTGTTCATGTTCTCGTGGTGTTGTTTCTCTTTTTCTCCTTTTCTTGGTCGTTAGTTTATTGCACAGTGTCACTCACACACAAACGCGCTGCGCTATATCATCGATATTGTGTGTTTGGGTGGTGAAATACAGGCGACAAACAAATTATTGAACTTCGAAATTCGATCTTCGAATTGCCGCTATGCTCCAATTGATTGAATAAGAAATTTTTTGTAAAACAAAGAAATTGAAAGTGATATTTTTCAAGTAGTTTTAATTTGTTTTTCCTATTTTTTTTTGTAATTTTTTTCGATTTTCAAACTTTTCTCTCCCTCACACTTTCTGTCTCATTCGTCGAATCTCAGTTCAATGTTCGAAATGTTCATCTGTCAATTTGTATGACAAAATATAAACCGCCACTCGCCGCCACTTGTTCAACACTCATCACCGACTCACATACACTCACATATACACACCAATACGAATTTCATACCGCTTGCCGCTAAAAAGAAGCATTATTCCTCTAACTGTCAACCGTGGTGCAAGAAAATTCTACGTAATTACACGTTTTCTTCTCTCGACTAAGTATAAGTCCACATTATATTTTCACTATATTTTTTTTGTGTGTGTTTTTTCTTTGAAAATTTTTTCGATAAAATTTTGCAATAAAGAATTGGAAATGGAGCCAACACAAAACGTGCTAAAACAGGAATTGGATGACATAAACTTAAAAATGTTTCGCTTAAGAGTTTCGAACGAAGAGTTGAAAGATAAAAATGACCGCCTGACGGCTGAAAATTATAAATTGATTCGTGAAAATGCCGAACTCAAAAATCGTCTTGAACAAGTAAAATCGCTTGCAGCAAATATCACGAAGAATGCATGTGATTTACAAAAATTGGTCACCGAACTATTGCCGTCGCAACAATTATCACTGGAATTGGCAGCAAAATTTGCATCAAAGTCACCATTGGATTTGGCAACCGTGCCGAGACGATCGACTAGCATATTGGTGCCGGCAATTGGGGGTCAAGCCAAAGGAACAACAGTTTCGGAACTCAAGTTGACGAGCATTTTGAAAAAATCAAGCGGCGGCATGAAACAAGATCAAACAAAACTAACGGTATCATCACAGCCTACTGTATTGCCATCACCGATAATGATGAAAAGTCCAATCCAAGGACAGCGTTCAGGTGGCGTTATGCCACAACCAATGATTCCAACGGCATCATTCAAGCCGGTCAGTACCAACATTGTAAACCAAACAGGAATTTCGCAATTTGGCCGATCATCACAGCAGGCATTGGGGTCAACAATTCAATCAAGGGTGGTCGAAGCATTAAATTCAAAATGGGCCAATGCAGCATCAACCTCTTTTAAACCAACACCGATTGAAGCAGCCAAGCGAGCACCATTGAAACACATCGATTTTACACCACAACAGGTGTTGCATGTCAAGCAAAATGACGATGGTTTAACACTGGTTACACACGGTAAGTATTGCGCAATGGTTTTGGATGGAATTTATTCTCGTTTCTCTCTATTTCGCTCTCTCTCTTTCACTAATTCTATCACCTTCACTCCCATACAATCAATGGTTTTTGGTTTTTACAATAAATTTCAGGTGCTGCAATGCCATCGAAAGTGGCTCCGCCTGAATCATCAAAGAATGCTGCACCAATTGGTTTGAAAAAAGTCCAACCGAAACCAGACACCAAAGTGGTTGATGCTCCCCTTACGACCAAAAATGATTCTGGAACTTGGAAATCTGATACAAATATTGGCGGTAAATTGATTACACTCGGTAAGTTTTATATTGAGCTATGATTTTTATTCGTCGAATTGGAGTTGGACTCATATGTTTGATGAATTTCATCATCAATTTTCAATTGATTTTCGTAAAATTTCATTATTTCCATACAATCAATGTTTTATTTCTTTTTACAATCAATTCCTTCAATCAGGTGGTGCAATGCCATCGAAAGTGGCTCCGGCTGAAGCATCAAAGAATGCTGCACCAGTTGACTTGAAGAAAGTCCAACCGAAACCAGACACCAAAGTGGTTGATGCTCCCGTTCCGACCAAAAACGATTCTGGCACTTGCAAATCCGATACGAATGTGGTGCGAAAAAAGCCAATGTTGCAAAGTCCGGTCGTTACGCTTCATCGTGACAATTTGGAACAACTCAAAGGTAATTATTTTATTCCCTGACAAAAACGCTCTTATGAAAAAAAAACTTATTAAATTGGTGTCTTAATAACTTTCTTTCAATACGTCCCTCATAGAAAATTCTCTAGTAAAAATGCCGAAGGATGTCAAAATCAAAGCCGAACCAACGGTACCGGCAGCAGCAAGTGCTCCAAAAGGAAAACGTAAGAATGTATCGTTGATCGATATGCCGAATGACAATCCAAAGCAAATGCGGGTTACACGATCAAGTGCCGTTAGCGATAGAGGTAAGTCTATCTCTTATCTATACCAAAATGGAATCGATCAATATCACTTGAAAAGGTCTTTTATTGACAACACAATGCGATTACTAATCAGCTGTTTTATGGAAATTTCCACTTGTTTATTCTTGTTTTTTTCTACACAACAATATTTTTGTACTTAGCTTCTGTGCTGTTTTTGTTTGAATAATTTGTCATTTTCGATTCCTGTCGGGAATTTTTCGAGAAAATTTTTCGACACCAACGTTGTTGTCGTCAATTTTTATTTGACTCATATTGACATTCAAAATTTGAATACTCAAATAGTAAAAAAAATGTGTGTTTTTCAGCATCTCTACCCATTCTGACTCCACGTAAAAGCCAAGACGATGGCAAGAAAAAGAAGTCCACCGAAGACAAGGTAGCTGTGAAACAAGAGCCCGGACCAGAAAAAAACAGAATTGATCGCCGTACCAAATCGAATACAGCAAAAGACACCAAAAAAATTTCGAAACGTCGACAAACCCATCTCACATAAGCTCCACATTCGATTTGACCAAGATTTTTTTCGATGAACAAAAAACAGTTCATCAAAGAAAAACAACTTTTGATTAAGAAAAAACCAATATTATTACATTTCGCTTATATATCAAATCCGCATTGACCCTTTCGAAAATTTCCGTAAATTGATTTGTTTTTCATTTTCGTTCATTATTACTCATTCACATGAGAAATTCAATTCCAATTTGGAAAACATTCTGAATTTTTTTATACAACTTTTTTTAAACGAAAATTTAAATTTTTTCGATTTTTTTTTTGTAAACCAAGATTGTTTTGATAACAATCAAATTTAATTAAATAAAAAAATGCAATTTCAATTGACATTACAAAAAAAAATTAAGTAACTACTGATCGTAGCTAAATAATCGAGTTTTAGAATAATCCAAAAGAAGACAATGTAAAACTCATTAAAATTTGTGAGAATTTTTTCTATTATTAAAAGGTTGGGTGTTTTGTTTTTGGACAGCAGTAAAATACAGTAATTTAGATGAAAATTTAATAATTCGTTGTTTTCAGGTAAGAATTGTTCGAGTCATGGAACATGGTGTCAGCGGTGCTCGGAATGAAATTTTTTTTATTTTAGGCCGATTTATTTTATTCTCAGCACTGACTGAATCGTAAATTGTGTTGAGTCGTCTAACGAAAAATTATTTCAACAAAAGCAAGAACTCACAAAATTAAATCAACAAACCTAACTGAACAAAAATCATGTTGCCAAAGTGCTAATTTCATTTTAAAATAAAAAAATAAACAACATATTATTGTGTGCTATGATTTCAAAGCACCTTAAGTTAAACAATGTTGAAATCGATTAAATAACACCGCAATTAGCCGATGAATTAAAAACTAATGACATAAATTTTCTTTCAGATCTGCTGACTTGAGAAACGTGATGTCTGTCAATGCCAATCAACATGGAGCCTCTATGCACACAAAGTAGCCGTCTCAATCGTCAAAATAAGTAAGTGTTTTTGCGCCACAGAGAAAAAAAACTTAATTAATTGATTCTGTGGTGTGTTGGCGGTTGTCATGAGTCATGCCTCTGTAATTACCGAATGGGTTTCAATTGATTATCATCGATATTTCGTCATTCATTCGACTTTGTGTGTGGTACTTACAACTTCCTATAAATGGAATTCTACACTATAACTTCTAATAAGTCGGTACAACAACAAAAAGTGCGATTATGTGACCGCCAACCGCTTTGAATAATGAGAGCCAAGACTGTTTCGATTGCATTGCATTTTAGTACTGTCATTGCATTTTCAAGTGCATGTGTGGCAATTTTCTTTATTGTTGTTGTTATGCAAATGCATTGTCACACCAGAGAACGGGGAAGCATGTGTTATTTTTACATTCGTTTTTTTTTTTTTGTTTTTATGCTTGTTCCCATTTACCGTTGTTGACTCATAAACTATATAGTGTCATTTGCACTTGAAATACGATATAATTTAATCGCCAGAGGAAACCATTCATAATAACGGTGCGTCCATTTGCACCTTTATTTGTTGCTCTTCTTTCGATTCCCACGGTGTTGCTTTGTTTATAGAATGACTTAGCACAGTAGCATTAATGGCGTTGAAATCTAACAAAATATGACTTTATCAGTTTTCACAAAATTTACATTTCTTTTGATGGAATTCCGGTGATAAACATTCATTTGTATTGCCACAGTTTACGATTCGACGAGATGCTGTAAGAAATGACTTTATTTCATGGAAGATTTTTTTACTGCACTTCTGAGAATCGTTCCGACACGCGAACGGATCATTTGTAATGGTACTTTTTTAATAGGTGACGACAATGTTTTGATGGGCGGTTTTCGGTTTTCATGTTTTTCTTTAATTTCATATGGATTTTTCCATTTTATTGAAGGTTCTGGAGAAACCGAGTGGTTTCAAGCTTACTGCTTTACTCTTCATTAAAAACGGTCGTTTTTAATTTTTTTTAAACAAAAATCCATTAATTTTCGGATTTCCATATTTTTCAAATTTTCTTTGAGCGAAAAAATTAAATATTTCGAAAGGTCTTTGACCGTCAAAATTGAATATTAAATTGGCTGTAAAGCACGAATTTACTCAAAACAGTTCATCCATCGAAAAGATGGAATTGGTTTAAAATTCAGACGGATCCATCCAAGCCGTGAGTTTGGTGTTTACATTGAGATTCCCGTAATCATAACAAGTTTTACGGTTTCGAATTGTGCTTTTAATGAAAGAAAGTCTTCTTCAAACGATTCGATAAGATTTTTGAACCCGAAAAAAACATTCCACATATAAAATATTCTGTTTTTTCCCGAAAACGTCTGAATTTATTAAGCTTTCTCCATAAATTTCCATTTTGTTAAGTTTGAATTTTTTTTTTTAAGGTTTCATCTTGGCTCCATCAATCTACCTCAAAACGGCTGAATATGTATATTTGAATTTGGTATCGGTTGAAGACGAGGTAGGTCAGTTTTCACTTTTCTGTTCACGTTCATTGCACACAGCATCGGACGAAAGTGCAATAAATCCCTCACCGACTATTGCAACATAAGAAATTGAATGGGATTTAAAAACGATTGACTGGTTTTTTTAAAAATTACATTCAAAGCGAATGCAAATCGATTTGGTGAAACGGCGTTCGCGGCACAAAAACACCACTTTCGCCAACCGATGCAAATGCACAAATAAATCATCTCACATTTGTTAAATAAATCACAATGCATGCCATACGGGGGCCGTTATTGTTCGGCCAGGCAAAAACAACGTCGACAACGATAAAAAAAAATCCAACACCGACAAATCGTTGTGCACGAGAAGATCTCATTTCTACTTTCGCCGCACTTAAACACATCAATGATTTCATGTTATTTAATCAAGTTTGGTGCGTGTCTGTCCAATGCAGAGCTCCATTTTCTAACGCTATTTACGAGTTGAAAACAAGGCATTCGTGCATTGCACATGCACTGGCATGCGGCGTGTGTATGTCTCGACTCAAGACCTTCAGCGTACAATTCATTTGCAAACATAATTATAGATAAATCAAGATTTAATTGAATGGCAAAATACGGGCCTATCGTCATTACATTTACGAATAAATAACTTACCTTTTCCTCTCACTTCAAACAACGCTTATCCGTTTCTAAATCTCGATTTATACGATTTGTCACGACTATTTCTTTTTTTCTTATTCGTCACTTAATTGAAAGAGATTTTTTATTTTCGATAAACACTTTTGTCATTCGGTTATTCTTTTTTTGGTCACTGACGATTTTTTCCCTTCTTAGAAATTTCGTTTTTTTACTCACTGATTCACCAAACACATATTATTTCACACACTGCATTGATTCACCTCTGTTTTTGAATAATCCACCACAATTTTGCGTTGCACAAAACTATTTCCGGGGATTACTCAAATTTGTTGAACAAATTTTACAATTTTTTTAAAATGAAAAATGTAGATTTCAAATTTATTCTAAAATTGACACCTTAGAGGAAAGAAAATCGACTCTTTGCCTCTTTATTTTCAAAAAATGCTGTATTTTGTACGAAACTAGATTTTTTTTCGAAGAACTATGGAGTCTGGATGATTTCAAATTTTCTAATAGTTTTCGGGTTTTCACAACAATCGATGTTCGGAAGTTTTTATGCTGGAATTTTCACATTTTTTTAATTAATCAAATTAAATGATTTTTTCACTTTTTCAATCAAACTTTTGGAATTTTTCGAGATTTTTCATATTTTTTTGGGCATTTGAACCACGAACTTGTACAATATTTCGACAGTTTCAATCATAAACCATTACTCAAGAAATTTTCCTATTATTAAACTGTTTAAAATTCCATCGGTCCTTGAATTGAAGAAAAAACTGTATTTTTGGTTTAATTTCCGTGTTTGCTGATGTATTTATTCCCAAAAATGTTGATTTTTTTGTCTATAAATACCAAAAAAAGCACTGATCATAAAATATGAATGTTTCAATCAAACAAAATGCTTTATTTGTCGATTTCGTTGTCAATCACGGTCAAGCAATCGCACACGGCAGTAAACACATTGAGCGATGAATAATAAACAAAGAAAAACACATACGCTTATGAATCGATGCAAAGGCACATAAAGAACTGTTGCATATGAGTTTCTTTTTTATCTTTCTCTCTCTATCTCCGTTGATGTTTTGTTGTGTGTTTCTCTTTTGTGTTGTTGAGTTGATTCTTGGTGTCTGGGTAAAACCAGGTAAACTCGATGTATTTTTTTCTCTCTCGTTCTCCTTCTTCTTCTCTTTTAAATCGCCCGACAATCGGTATTTAGTTTTAGTTTGTTCACATTTACATTCTAGTCGCACAATGCACGCTGAATGTTCTCACATACCATTGCACTTTCGATGCACATCGAAATGCAACAACCGAACGAAAAAAATAATAATAATAATCACAAAATTCTTTATTTATTGCACCAGAGGCCGTTTTTTGAATATTATCGAGGCTGGTTCGCGATGTTTATTTTCACTTCAGACAAAGTTCAAACGTACTCAACGACGAGCACATAAAAAAAATGCACGACAGAAAAACGAAATAAATGAACTGATCACTTTGAATCACTGACTATGAATGAGCACAATGAAACCGCTCACCAGTTAAACTGGTTGGCTCACGAGCAAGTCTCTCTGGTTTTGAGTGAGTTTTTTGGCATGAAGAGAATGAGTCAAACAAAGAGAAAGAGATAATAAATGTGTTGGATCGGTGTAATTGAGTGGAAGTTTGATATTCACTCAGTTTGGAGTGAGTTTTTTTCATCGACTTCGGCGCCTATCAGTCGACTTTTTGTTTGATTGAGAACAAAAGCAATTTTGTTGTTTGGCCAATTGATATTACTATGGTAATCGCATTTGCCTGGCACATATGTATTAAAATTTACAGCGGTGAGATAAAGACAGTTATCGATATAATGGTCTCAATGGACTTTAAAACGCCCATCGGAATGCCAGGCTGAATGGTTTTCTTTGTTGTGTATTTTCGAGAAATTCCATAGCATTTAATGATAAACGGACAGATTATGGAGAGAAATTCAATTATTGACAGACATTACACTTATTTGAATACATTACTCAAATTGACCGATTTTTGTAGGAATTCTCATCATTTTTATGAATAAAACACCCATTTTACAAGAACGTAATGTCAAAAAATTACCTTTTTTCAATTTTATGGAACTATTTCATTTCGAATTTATTTTATTTTGCAAATAAAATTCAAATTTTTTTGATGGAAAACAGTTGTTGGAGAATGAGTCAAACGATTGTTGTTTTGAGATCAGAAATGTGCTCCTTTTGAAAGTCAAATTCATTTATCGCTTTTGGGGCGTATATTTTATTCATTGTCACGTTCCCCAATTTTGCTTTCAACTTTGAATTTGTCACAAAGTGATAAACTATAAAAGCATACGGTTTCAGGTTACACTGGAAATTTTATGAATATTTGAAGATAAAACGAAATTCCGCTTGATGAACTATCGGTTGGTTTTTTTAGGAAACACGGAATGTAATGAACTTACACAAAAAGGCACGGTAAAAAATTAAGGGGTCTATCTGCCAGTCAAAACACCAGCAACTCCAAAGAATTTTTCGCTCTGAAAATCTGAGCAAAAAGGCGATTTTCATTCCACGTGGGAAAATAATGATACGAGGGAGGAAGAATTTGGCTTAAAAAGCCCCAGCAAATCGAATTTTTTATCTCTCGAAATCGCCTACCGAGGGTATATCGGACGATTTAAGGGGGGATACACCCTCCTGTGTCCCTGTATGTTTGACAAGTTACTTGAATTTTTATAAAATATTGAGTTGTTGTGAGGTTTGTATTACAAATAGGATCAAGTCAATGACGGAATTCAATGGGCGTTTTAACTTACCACAGACAGTTCTTAATTACATTATCACTCAAAATACACAATTAGTCAACAACATACTTTGGAAAAAAACCAAAATCTTCAATACACACGTCAACACATTTTTCAGTGATAAATTGAGAAAAACAAAGCATGACCGTAAAAAGTCAATTCATTTTTGAATGGGAGAAAACGATTTAACTTTTTGAAATACATTCAATTTTATCCCTTTTTCATTATAGATCACAATGTGGGCATGAAATATATTTTAAATCAACTTTCTGTTTCAAAGAAATGCGAAATTTACGTGAAATATTCCAAACCAATCGATGTATTGTGTGACTTGATACATCGATGTAAAAGATCTATTGAAGTAGTCAACAAATAGAAGCACAATTGAATGGACAATACATTTTCACAAATCAAAATCCACAGCATTCAAAAGTGGTCAATTTCAATGTGTAACCTACTAAAAATGTGTAAATTCGAATTAGTGGGAATTATTCACATCTAAATTTTCCTGTTGCTATACACCACCAGTTTATATTGCAGATAATTCCCTCCTTATGGAATGCACTGAGTCATTTGTTTTGCAAGAATTGTTTTTCGTTTCTTTGTTCTTTCAGCTTCTGGTATGCGTTTAATTAATTTTTTAATGAAATAACCAACTTTCAGAAGAAGGTCAGAAAGGTTAAATTAAGCTTTTTAAAGGCAGCGCGTGAAGAATAAAATTCATTTTTTCCACTCATATTTTGGTATAGCTTTGAAAACCGTTGAAAACTGTAGAAGAAATGTATGGCAATAATAAAGAACAAAAATAAAGTAATAGAGAAATACTGCGATCCATTACACGTGGAGCGAATTGTGTAATGTTGGAATGTGGAATGCAAATAATGTTCATCAGAGAAATAATCGATTTTTTTAGGTATAAATAAGCGGTCGAGATGCATTCAAATTCACAGTTATTATACACTCAAAATGATCCGTTTTGTAAGCGCTTTTTGTTTCATATTAATCGTTGGCGAAGTGTAAGTAGAATTTCTTTGTCATTTTTCTCCAATTTAATTTTTCTCAATCTATTTTTTACATTTCCGCACAATTAGTGTGGGAAAAATATTTTTCCATAAAAAACAGCAACTAAATTTAATCTAAACTAACTTCCTAACTTTTATTAATATTTTCTTTCGTTACTTCATTATGTCATTCAGGTTCCAGGTTCAATGTGAACCGAGCAAGTTCGTCAAAGAAGACAAGCATCTGTACGATGTTGTGAATGAGCAAGCATCGCAAAAATATTTTGCCACCAAACGGAAAATTAATAATAATGACTTCAAGGTTTCAGGTTAAAAAAAAAAAATATTAGTAGCAACTAAGCGGAATACATAATTTCATTGTAATTTTAAAAAAATGAAAAATGTTTATAAAACCAAGAAATATTATGAAAATTTTCTATTAAATTAGGTGCTGAAGCGAAAAAAGTATGGATGTACATTCGTCATGGAACTCGATCGCTGAAAAGATTCGAAATTCCAATTTTGACTGGTCTTGAGTCTGTAAGTAACGATATTTTCTTTTTAAAAAAGAAAGCTATGGATTTGATGTGATTAAGAGAGTTTCCCCTTTTAAAATCGTGAAAATGTCAGGTGGCCAAGCAAGTTGTCGAAAGTTTCAAAAATGAAAAGAGCGTTCCATTCTCGAAAAATGCTTGGGATAAGCTAAAGACATGGAAATTGGATGTAAGCGTTGATCGAAGCCAATCCCATGGAAAAGTTGATATGATAACATCAAGTGTAAGTAATTTGCGATGAAATTAAAAAAAAAAAAAAATGATTTTCTCTCCATGTCGTTAATGTTTCTTTAGGGTAAAACGGAGCTTGAATCAGTGGCTAAAAATTATCAGGGCCGATTCCCCAGCCTTTTTACCAACAAGTATTCGCCAGATCAATTCCATCTTCTCCATTCGACCGAAGAGCGTTGCAAAGAGAGTATGGAAGTATTTTTCGGCAAAATATTCGGCAAAAATGCAGCTGAAGGTATTAATGGAACAGTTGAAGGAACTGAGTACGAAGGAATCGTTGAGGTATTATGACATGTCAATCTTAAACTTGCTGTATTTTTACTGAAGACAATTTTAAATTTGCCCATTAGGCCTACCGAGTATATGTAGACAGCGTGCAACCAGGTCAGCGTCCAGCAAATGTGGAGCTACCAAAGTTCCAACAATTACCCGCATACAAAACGATGGTTGAACGAATCGTCAAGGAGTTCCGTTTAAAAGTCACCGATTATAACACAAAACAAAAATTGGTCTCAAACATTTTCGATATGTGTCGATATGAAGAAGCATGGTATTCAAACCATAGTGCTTGGTGCTCGGTAATTAATCTAATTCGGCTATCTTTATATTGAAATACATTTGCAAATCTGAAATTTCTTTTGTTTTCATGCAGTTCTTCAAGGCTGATGACATCAAAATGCTTCAATACGGCGTTGATTTGTACAACTTCTACGAATGGGGCTATGGTATTGATCAAAATAATAAAATCCAATGCCCAACCATTCGTGACATGGTAAAGAGTTTTGAAGGAGGAGCTGCACCAGTTACGGCATACTTCACTCATATTCCAGAAGTGTCACTTCATCTTGTTGCCATGCATGCATACCCAGAAAAACAAAAGCTTACCGCTGACAACTATGGCGCTATGTCGAAACGAGTATGGCAAAGTAGCAAATTGGTTCCATTCGCTGCCAATTTTGCTGCCGTTTTGTACGGAAACAATCAAGTGAAATTCTTCATGAACGAAGAATTGGTACAGCTCAGCTGGTGCAAAAAAGGTGTATGCAATTTGAGTGATCTTAAGAAGAATTTCAGCCAATGCTTCTAAAATTCTTCAAATTTTTATCTGTCCTCTTTGATTGAATTAATAAATGACCCAAATGTATAAAAATTATTCTCATGGCAACTTTCTTTGTTTTGACTTGAATCGAGATATGAAGGAGTTATTGATAAGGACATGATGGATATGATCATGGACCGTCCATATGATGATGTGGAAATATGCCATCGTAATTTTCAGCTTCGAAACTTTTCATACAAAAAATTTAAAAAACCTAGTTGTATCATAATAGGCTATGCCCTAAGTACATGTTTCGTGTTTGTATTTCGTGGTTTTAATAATTTTCATGCGCCGAGCGTCTTTTCAATACAAATACTTGAACTTCACGAAGCCAAAAAAAATTTCCATTCATTTTAAGTTGTTTTTCACAAAGTCATCGCATATCTTTATTAAAACCGAAAAATTCTTTATTTGTTCGAAAACAACTTGAGATATTTATTTCTAAAAATTGTTCAATTATTCCAATATTTGAAGTTCGATGATCGAAAGATCTTTCAACAATTTTTTGAGATTAAATAAAAGAAAAATAACATTTGGTCTGTGTTTGAATATGAATTTAGAAAAAAGCAAAAATTTGGCAAAACTTATTACGAATCATTCCCAGCTTTGAATTCAAATATACTTGACAGTTTAAAAATAGTTTTTGTTGACTTGAGAATTTGAGATCCCTTTACACGTATTTATTGCTACTTCTTCGAATGATCAACTCCCATGTTTATTTTTATTTCAAATATAGTGCTGTGCATCGATTCTTAGGTATTTCAAGTATTTGATTCTGTTGTAAAAATGTTTTAAGCTTAAATTAACTAAGATCGTGCAAAGGTTAAAAAAGTTATTAAACATGTTTAATTATTTTTCACGAAAACTGTTGACAACGCGGAAAGAATGTTTCAATTTGATGGCTGAATATTTAGATCAAAACAGATGCGTAACCCACGAAACAATATCATGTCAAAATTAAGTCACATTATTCAAATGGCCTTCAATTTGACAAAAATCATGTCGCTTGTCCATTGATTCCAAGCTGCAACGAAGCTACGGCCAGATTTACAGTCTTTCTTTCATTCAGGAGGTCATGAGAACTTATTTTAGATGCAAATTGGAAAGGTATTTAAAGTCATCAGTGCCAGTTCGACCCCAAAGTTTATGCGGTTCTTTCATATTAAAAGTTTTCTTTTGGAAAGTGAACACAAAACATCATATAAAAATCCCCACGTTTTGAACGAGAGTTCATTGTCTTGAACAAAAATTTGTGTATAAATTGGGTTTTGTTGCCAATTATGGATTTATTTTTGCATTATTACTACAGATAACAAAGAAGAGGCATATTGTTACGTTTTTCTATGAGAAAATACGATCTACTTCAATCGTAGTTTGAAATTTCACCACGCAGTCGCCCTTTAATGTTGCACTCATACTATCGCAAATATTCCGTTTCATCGCCTCATCTACAGCACGACTGCAAATGGTCATTCTTTCTGTCAGCGACATTGAAGATGAAAACACGTTTTTTCAGCAAATAAGAGAACAAACGACTCAATTAGATTTTTGATTTATTTATCGAGTATTTCATTGAATTTTCAATATTTTTCACAAAAATAACTATTTAAGCAACGAAAACAAGTGAATGGAATGGAATCATAAGTTTCCGTGCGATAAAATAAGAAACAAAAAAAGGTAAGTAATTTTTGTAAGACTGCAAACTGTATTGTAATTGTTGTAATGCGTGGCGCGAGAGAATGATATTACAATAAAAATAAATATCTGAGAAAAAAAAGAGATATTTTATCAATTATTATTATTTTTCGATTATTTGTTTCAAGACAGGCCACTAACACTGCATCAAGTAATAGTGTTAATAATAGTCTGGTATCTGATTCGGAAATTATGGAAAGGTCAAACACCAAAAGCAGCCATTTTTTCATTGATTCGTCCGAAATCAAACAAGAGACGGACATCAAAGAAGAACCACAGTCTGTTGGCGTTTTGATTGACGTTCCTGCAATGGATAACCGCGATGTTGGAGGTGTGTTTGATTCCAATGAATATCCCGTCGAATATGATTTCGAACATATGAATTTTGACGAGGTTAAGACCGAAGTGAAGACAGAGACCGATGAAAAGAAGGAAGGAAATTCGAAGAAGAGCGACGATTTGGCAGACAATCGAGATGATGGTCATCAAAATCCGATGCAACAACCACAAGCTGAAGACAATCCAATACCGATGGACATTGGCAATGAAGGGAATAACGCAAAGAAACGAGGTGGGAGTGCCGATCAAAAAAAGATCGCATCGAAGAAATATAAATGTGACGTCTGCGAATATAATGCAGTTTATAAATCACAAATAAACAGACATATGGTCAAACATACTGGCAAAAAGCCATTCGGATGCAAGTACTGCGCAAAACGTTTCACAACAAAGCGAACTCTCCAAAGCCACAAGAAAGCTCATGTTAAAGAGTTTTTGTTTCATTGCGATGGTTGTTTGGATGGATTCGACGACAAAGATGAAAAGGTCGAGCATCAGGCCAATTGCAAGGTATTTCGTTATGAATGCCATATTTGCAAGCAATCGTTTGGATCGCTGAAGGTAAATTTGATTGTTCATATGCGTGTTCACAGCGGAAATAAACCATTTGAATGCAAAGAATGTTTGAAGCAATTTGCAAGAAAGCAAAACCTAAATGAGCATATGATATTGCATGCTGATTCATCTTTGTTCCGCTGTTCGAGATGTCGTCGAGTATTTTTACAAAAGGACGAACAAAAAGTGCATGAAGAAAAATGCAATGCAAATGTCTATGAATGTTACATTTGTGGTAAATTAATTGGACCGAAGAAGACGAATTTGGAACAACATATGCGCGTACATACTGGTGACAGACCATTTCAATGTCAACATTGTTTGAAGCAATTCAAACAGAAACACACTCTTGATGTCCACATGAAATTGCATACCATGAAGCTGCCATTCAAATGTTCGATTTGTCGTTATGGTTTTACGAAGCAAACAAAATGTAAAGCACACGAACGAACCTGTCGTTGGCGGTGTTATCATTGCCACATTTGCAAGAAGTTCTTTGGAAGTAAATCAAATTTGGAAAATCATTTGCGATCGCATTCGGGCGACAAACCGTTCCAGTGTACGTTATGCAGAATTGGATTCGCTGTAAAGTCAAACTTAACGAAGCACACGAAGAGCCGCATCCACAAACGGATTGAACGAATCTAAATCACAACATCCATCATCGACGAAATCAAAACAATTTATTTGAATTTCATAAATTGTTCAATTTAATGTTCATACTTCAGTGAAGTAACTTCACATATCAATATCATCATCTGATTTGAATTTTTAGGTTAAGCTGAATTAAATACCGATTGAAATGGAATTGTCATTGAAATAAACATCTTTTGATCAATAAACTTTTTGGCGTTCTAATGTACAACTATTTGATTTTCCTTCATTTTACAGATGAAATATTTGTTTTATTTAAATTTTTTATCGATTCAAAATTTGATCTGAAATTGTCTCATTCATGTTTCATTAGCGACATCTACGCTGTCAAATGTTGTGGTAAATTAATTGGACCGAAGAAGACGAATTTGGAACAACATATGCGCGTACATACTGGTAATAGACCATTCAAATGCCAACATTGTTTGAAGCAATTCAAACAGAAACACACTCTTGATTTCCACATGAAATTGCATACCATGAAGCTGCCATTCAAATGTTCGATTTGTCGTTATGGTTTTACGAAGCAAACAAAATGCAAAGCACACGAGCGAAGCTGTCGTCGGCGGTGTTATCATTGCCACATTTGCAAGAAGTTCTTTGGAAGTAAATCAAAGAAGCGATAAGATTACTGCCTAAAATGATAAAAAATAAAATTCACATATAGTTGGCGCCACATTCTATGTAATAAGCGTATACTTTCCACTTAGTCCGTTGCAACGGAAAACAAGTTTGCATAGAATGCACCGCCAACTATATGTGAATTTTATTTTTTATCGTTTTGGGCAATAAATCTATGGTTTTCTTATGGCTTCTTTGGAAAATCATTTGCGATCGCATTCGGGCGACAAACCGTTCAAGTGTAAGTCATGCCGAATTGGATTCGCTGTAAAGTCAAGCTTAACGAATCACATGAAGAGCCGCATCCACAAACAGAATTATTAAACTACACTCATCTATAAATTGTATTTGATTTGAGCCAACCAAACACCCATCGATTATTGATCAAACACCAATAACAAACACATTAACTTTCCCTTAAAGTACCCTTTATTTCATTCTAATTCATTCCTATTCATAAATTCCATCGAAAATTTAGATTAAGTTGAATTAAATTCGAAAATGTATATGAAATATTTTTGTTTGGAATAAAGATTCGTTAACGAATAAGCTTGAATTTTGAGTTTTAAGAGAAATAAAATGAACCAAATACTTCCAATCATACGTCCTCATGGAAAAAATTTAAAGGATGGGGTAATTGAAAAAGATTGAGAGGGGTAAGCAAAAAAGTGAAGTGTATTTTGTAAAAGTTTTGAAAACTTCAGAAACATGTTTTCTGGACGTTTCTGAGGTCAGAGAACCCGAATCAGGCCGTTTTTGAGCATGGTTTTTGTTAATCTGTACGTTGTACGTCGTACGCAAAATTTGTTAGCAAGATTGCGCTCATCGTAGAAACTTAATTCAAAATCTGACTTAACAGGATGATTGGGGGTCCCGAGGAATAGAAATCATTAGCCTTTGAGCGACTTTGGTTGATGGAAAAAAATGTCATGCCTGTAGTGATAAAAGAGTCCAATTTTCGTCCAAAAGTCATACTTAATGTAGACTTAAACACTCTGGAATGTATTGGGGGGTTTCTTGGCACGAGAAAACCGAATACGAGGTTAGTTTTGAGATACAATCAATTTTTGATACAGTTTCCTTGAAAAAATCACAAAAAAATTTAATTTTTGTATGGGAGCCATGCCTGTATGCTACCTTAATGGCGTGAAACTTTGCACAGTCTATTTTTTACACAAAAAAATAACATTCTGAAAGTTTGAAGAGATTTCAATCAAAATCAGGGGTACCTCCCATACAACATTTTCAGTTCCCTGCTGAGGACGTATGCTTCCAATCCAATAAATCTAGATATCACAGATAAAATTCGAAATTCTCTTGTAAGTGTTGTAATTCATTTCAATTTATTGTTCAATAAAATGTTCACATAAAATCTACGAAAATTGGTAACATCGTGATCTTGAATGTGTGAAATTAATACAAAACTCCTACAGAACATAAAATTCGACATATCAAACAAAAATAAATTTAATTTTAGAAGCATTGAAATTCTTCTTAAGATCACTCAAATTGCATACACCATTTTTGCACCAGCTGAGCTGTACCAATTCTTCGTTCATAAAGAATTTCACTTGATTATTCCCGTACAAGACGGCAGCAAAATTGGCACCGAACGGAACTAATTTGCTATTTTGCCATACGCGGTTCGACATATCGCCATAGTTATCAGCGGTAAGCTTTTGTTTTTCTGGGAATGCATGTCAACAAGGTGTAGCGATACTTCTGGAGTATGGGTGAAGTATGTGATGACTGGAGCAGATCCTCCTTTCAATGTATTGACCATATCGCGAACGGTTGGGCATTGAATCTCTTGGATTTTGTTCAAAACCATAACCGTAATCATCGAAGTTGAAGAGATCCACGGCGTATTCAAGCATCAAAATGTCATCTTTTTTGAAAAACTACATGAAAAGAAATCAAATCCATTTATGTTAAATATGAAACCCAGAAATGTGTATAAAGTAAAATTACCGAGCACCAAACGCTGTTATCCGCATACCATGCTTCTTCATATCGACACATATCGAAAATGTTCGAGACCAATTTTCGCTTTTCGTCATACGCGGTGGCTTCAAAACGGAAGTCCTTGGCACTACGTTCAACCATCGACTTGAATTTTGATGATTTCCGAATTTTCGCAATTCAACATTTTTAGATTTCTGCCCCGGTCGCAAACTCTCTTCATATTTTCGGAAAGCCTATATGATAAACGTAAACTTCTTTATCACAGAGTTCGCTTTCCTTTAGCAATGCAAATCATATCTCAACAATTCCTTCGTATTCTCCTTAGGTGGTGCCATTAATACCTTCAGCCACAATTTTGACAAATACTTTGCCGAAAAATACTTGCAAACTCTCTTTGCAACGCTCTTCGATGGAATGAAGAACATGGAATTTCTCTGATGAATATGTGTCAACGAAAAGTTTGGACACAGGACACATCACACACAGCGACGCACATTAATATGCCCCAAAATCATCTCCAATCGTGTTTTCTAATACAATACCTTTCCTACACTAGGTGTGCGGAAAAGTAAAAGTCCAATATTCTACATTCCAATATAACACTTTTTGTTCCACGTGATTTTCTTTGCCTTTGCTCATCCCCCCGACATGAAAAAAGTGACATGGTGGCGCCATGTACCTGTAATATGGTGGTGAAAGAACAAACTTTGCATGTGCGACCACACAACGTATTTGCGACCACACTGTGATAGACGATTTGTTTTTTCTTCTACTTTTTTTTAAACGAAATAAATTTTAAATACAAAAATGATGAAATCGCAAGGAATTTTCTAATTGTAAACATTTTATTTTTGAAAATAAATAAATTTTATGATCACTCTTTGCGACCACGCACATTTTGCATTTGCGACCAC